CTTGCCCTTCCTCTGATTGACGTAAGGTTTTAGGTTAACTATTAAACATTTACCTCAAGAACTTCCTTTATTTGATTTCTGGGTTTGGTTTGTGTGCAGCATCTCCTATTTTCTTTCTCTTTTGCTTTGGAGAGGTGATGGTTTTTATTTTTCAGTGAAACTAATAAAACCTGCCTATTGTGAGTACCAGTGAAAGATTTTCTAGATGCTCCTGGGGCATAAGGAAAACTGATGTTAGCTGTTTGCCCCACTCATGTGCTCTCTCCTTCTTTTTATGCTTCTGAAGTAACAACATAAAGGAAAACAGAGGTTGCCCTCCATGTGGGGGTATATCGAGATGTTAAAGGGGTCATGGGTGGAGGGAAGTCAACAGGCAGCTTCCTGAGGAAGAACTGGAGAGGATTTTTAAGGCAGCAATAGAAAAGAGCTTCTAGGGAGAAATTTGGCCTTGCAGAAAGGACTCTGCGATTTTACTTTTATTTGTGGCTTTTGTTGAACTGCATCCAGAAACGTTCAGTAGGTTTAACTAGAATGAGGTAGCTAAAATTACAAAAGGAAAGATTAGGGAGGAAAAAAAGTGGAAGGCTAGAGGAGAAGAGGTTGCTTTTCTCATGAGTCTGGGAAATGCTGTTGGAAGGGAGGTAGGAGGAGCAGGAAGGGACTCTGCAGCTACAGCAAGAATGTGCCAAAAACCAGACAGTGCTAGACAGGGCTTTTGGTGTGTAATAGGAAAAGGTCATTTGGGGCGGTTGCTTTGGAATTGTACATCTGTTGGGTTGCCATAAAAAGCACTGAACATAAGGAGTTTTCTAGTGAGGCTTCAGAAGAGCTCTGTTGTGCTTCTGAACACAGTAGGGACTTTATTTTTTTGCTGTTCTGAGGAAGATTGCAAAGACTGGTGGACTGCAGAGTGTGATGTGATCGTGTTGCTTTGCAGGTGATTAGCCAAGGAAAGGTAAAAGCCAGTAAATAAAAGCCAGCTAATGACTTTATGCAATATTACATCCGTTTTATACCGAGGATCTGGGGGTGTACTGCCCTTCTCCCATCACTTAACAGTCCTGAATTTGGTGGAATTCTTGGCCAGATAGACTCTGTAACACACTGTCAAAATGACTGGCAAAAGACTAATGTCCCTTGTGCTTAGTCACTCGCAGCGTATACGTGCCGTGTCGTAGATCGACTGTTTCAGCTCATATTTCACATGAAATTGTCTGACCTCTTAAGCGGGGAACACCTGACTCCTAAAATAGTGTGCAGTTTGGTTATGTATGGTCCCCGCAATGTAAACTCTTTGACAGGCTCCTGCCCATGTTTTATGGCCTCTTATGCCTTCACACTAACACTTAACATCTGCACCACAAAATTTGTAACATCAGTTTGTTCAAATAAAGAGTCCACCAAGCATTTAATCCTTGTTTTAATGGCTGATGTTTATTTTAGTGTGGGGTTTCATGTACTCATGGAGGGATTCTGTGCCCATAGTCCATAAATCATGTGGGGCAGGAGTGAGAGTTCTCTGGGCTGGCTTGTTTCTGAGGTGAGGCTCTAGAGATGGGGGTTTTTTTGATACCTCCATGAAGTTGACTCACCTCAGGTATGAGTTGCAGATACACTTAATGAGGATTTTTACTTTTGGTTTTGGATCTTTTTTTCCTCTTCATCAAATATTTGCGATACAGGATGTGTGGATTTTGTTCTGTTTGTGATGGTTCATCCATGCAAGTGATAGTTGTGTTTCCTCCATGTGCTTGATTATGCTGGAAAATTGTTTGCATGTGTGGTAGGCAGGACGATGCAAATAGAGACCACTCTGAAAGTAGCCCGCTGCAAGGACAAAAAGAATAAAGAAAAGTTACTTTATAAAGTAGCTACAAACTTAAAAAAGAAAACTAAACAAGAACAGGGGGGACACAACACATGACACCTCTGCTCAAATAGTTTGTGTTACTTTGCTTTACCTCTTCTATAGTGGATCATCGATGACCACCTGAATTCTTTGTAGGCTCCTTTGAGTCCATTACATGTTGCCTGTTTTAAGTGCTCTGTAAGCTTACATTTGGACAATGTGAGGGAGAGGATGAGAGTAAGAGCCCAGAATCTCTAAGTTAGGTCACTTTGGCTGGGTTTCTAGGCAAGCCTGTGGGGTGGTAGTTTTCCACACACAACCTCTAATCCCTACCACCCAGTGGAAAGCAGCCAATCCACAGCTTCAAGTAAAACTCATGGAGGAATGGGGGCCAGAGGCTTTGTGGGAACCAAGACTACCCAGCAATTTGCCAGGAGTCCCTTTACGCTGCTGCTCTCCAGAAATCACACCTTTCAGAGTTTTGTACAGCTGCCTTCTGCAAAGAGGTGCCGAGTGGAGTCGGCAAAGCTTCGCCAATTCCTTCATCTGCCTCTGGAGGAGAGAGCACGCCGGGCAATCCCATGGCAAATGACCATGGCATGACCTCTTCTCCCCGGAGTGCCTAGTGTAGTGGGTTCCTCCTCTGACACAAGCCTATAGGAGGTTTACACCAGCTGAAAACTTCTAATTTGTTAGGGAATTACCAAAATAAGAATTTGATGAGCAAGTTCTGTAACTTCCAGGAAGGTTCTGATTGCTAGCAGCAAGACTGGAATCATTTGTCTTCTCTTCCTTTCTGTCTGATTTCTCCCCTGGTATTTAAATGATAACTTTCAAAGTACTGCAGTTAAAGCTGCATGGCTGTGCAGAGGGAGGGATGGGTAGATGAATGCAATGAAATGAATAAGCAAATAAAAAAATATGAGCTTTTTCATACAAGTTTAGTGAAATCGTCTCCATCTCATAGTCAGCAAATCAGAGATACATTAATCTTTTCTTCTTTCTGGTGTAGTTACTCTGTTTTATTTTGTTGCCTTTCTACAGCGCTTAGAAATATACAGATTCCCTGCTCTGTGGCAGCTTTGTGATGATTGAGCACTTTACTGCAGCTTTTCTGCAGTCCATGTGAAAACAAGCCTTGAAACTATTTTCATCTTTGTGGCTGGCATGTAGCTTCCGTTATTTACGAGCACCCAAGTTTTCATTTTTTGCTTGTCCACAGGCTCCTGTCTGTCTTTTTAGACCCAGGGGGGAGATTTCCAAACTCTTTTTAAAAAGATTCAAATCAAATTTCATGGTTGTTTTCTCAGTTTAAAATATGCACCCAGTGTTGACAGTTGATGCCTTGGGCAGAAAAGCATGTGCAGAGCTACACTGGATGACTGCTAGACAATTCCGAATAGGGATATGGGATGGACATGTGCAAATGTGTGTATTGACAAGGCAGAAAATGTGTGAATTGGCAGAAGGCAGGGAGTCCATTTCAGGTGGGCTTTGGGGGGCTTCCAGCTGATGAAGTTTATCACCCTCAATACACGAGGGTCCATGAGGGAAAACTGACGATCAGGGAAAACTGTGAATGCATTTATGAGCCTGGGAAATAAGGGGAATTCAAGATGAATTGTGTTAAGGGAGCTGGTAAACAGGCTGTGGAAAAACAGCATCAGATCTGCCTGCTGCAGGATGGTGCTTTGTTAGGGGAGAGGGTCTGAAGTTAAATCTACAGAAAATGAGAAGGGGATTCTCTGCTCTGGGAAATGAGCAGCATGTGTAGTGTGACAGGAGAGGTGTCTGTCTGATCACCCCATACGGTCTGTCCCGTGTCACTTTTGCATGGAATGTTGTGTTTATGCTGTTTCAGGACCTGTTGTGTGCTCTGATCCCTTTTTCATTGGAATAAACCAGCATTAATGTCTCATCCATAGTATATTGCAGGCTGAGCAGTGCGCAGATGTGATTTCAGTGAATCTTGGCAGTTTGTTTCTTATTGCAAACTAAATTTGTTTTAATGACTTAATTTGCTTTTCTTTCATTTTACAATTGAAAACATGAATACATTTTTTGTGACTGCAATGAAGTGAGCAGATTCAATTTCAGATCTGAACTTAATTTCTCCTTTGTTCATACCTCGGCTGCTTTGCACATCTGCCTTTGAGCTGTGAAGCACGTTTCACCTTTCAGTTTAGAAGAGGAAAAATTACACTAGTCGCTTAGTTTGGAGGAAGAGAGGTTTAACTTCTGTGTTTTAATTTTTATGTTAACAGCGGCTCACCACTGCTTCACTTCATAGTCCTTAGAATGTGTCCTTTTCACAGGTTCTTGTAACTTAAGTTCATTAAGGGTCAGCTGGTCTGGGGAGTCCCCTGCTTTTGGTACACGTACCACAATAAAGAGGCATGTGAGCTCTGCACGTAGGTGGCCAGTGACTGCAGCTGCTGGTGCTGGCGCTCGTGCCAATAGCAATAAATGAGCAAAGAAAGCTTGAGAAGGTCTTATCTAGCCTGACCTTCTGCACTTCTGGGTTTCATCCAGAGACTTCTGCACTTGGCCAATAATGCATGTTCCAAAACAATCTTACTTCATTTAAAATTTTTGCGACTCTATCTTGCGTTCTGTTACATTGCTCTAATAACGCTGGTAGCAAGTAAAAATGCAACCGATGGAAATATTGACTCCAGGAATATCTTACAGCTTCCCTGGCTAAGGAGAACGTGCAGAGTCTAGAGCCCACATTGCATCCCAAAGCATGGTCTCCTATCCTAAAATTTTCTTCAGCAGATTTTTCCATAATTAGCACTTGTTCCATTAGAGTGGAATGTTACGCTTTTCAAAAGCAGGATTTCCAATTTCTGAAATTTTTGCAAAAATATGACTTCTTCTTGGTTTGAATTACAGCTAATCTTTTACTGTCTGAATTTCTTCTCTTTTCTCGTCCTCTTTCCTATTTGCATGTAATCTTGTGGTTTTATGTAAATCTGCATACATAGGTATAGATGTACTTGGAATGGAACCTCTTGGTTGCTTCTTCATTCTTTTAATCACACTTTAATTAAAGGTCACTGCAATCTGAATGTGCACAAGAATGTTTGTTGAAAAGAGTATAAAAGTTTTATTATGATCTGCCAGCCTTAATAACTATTTTGACTTTTAGAAAAGAAGAGACAAAAGAAAATGAAATCAACCAGTGACTGGAGGGAGAGAAGAAATGCCATTCGACTTACCAACGAGTACACAGTAGAAACTCTGGTGGTGGCAGATGCTGATATGGTCCAATATCACGGTGCGGAGGCTGCCCAACGGTTCATCCTCACAGTTATGAATATGGTAAGTAGGTGCTTTACTCTCAAAAGAAGAAGCAAGAATAAACAGATCATATCCAGGGTAGGTCAAAGCTGGCTTCCTTGACAGGTGAACTGGGTAACTGTTTTGACCTTAAGGTATGAGGAAAGGTTTTGGTTTTCTTGTGTTGTGTGCCCTTTCTCCCACAACTGTTCTAATTCCCTGTATTTGTTCAAGGACATCACAATAAAATGCTTCTTTGAAACCGAAATTGCAAATTTTCAGTTAGGAAATATTCCATAATTGTTCAGCAGTGGTGTTTTCTACCATGTTTTTGTACTGTTGTGATTTACCTTGAAAGAGAATATCCCAGAGTGGACAGATGGTCTTGTCTCATGTGGTGTTTCTTGGGCTCCCAAAGATTTCCATGGCATGCCAGTTTCATAAGGGATACTTCTCTGTAGGTCATTGTTATAGCAGGCAGTCAAATTGTTATTGAAGACAGCAGTCATGTTGATTTCCAGCAGAAAACCTGGCTTTAAGTCAGGGAGAAACGCTTTTTAGCTCTCATTTTTACACAAGGAAAATGGCTGCCTCCCTTGCTGTAGAAAACATGGCAAATCTATCACCACACTGCCAGTTGATCCCATTCTCTTTACCCCAGGACCTCTTGTGCTATATGAAGTGGTGCTGATCACACCTCTGAATAGTTGATGGAGTTGGGTTTTAGAAGCGTTCTAGAAATTCTGCAGAGAATCTGCCAAGAGAGAGGAGAGCCTTTTGAAATTGCAAGCTCCTGTGAAGTGTGGGTGTTAATTTGTTAGCTGTCCTAGGATTAACTTCCTTCAGTCTCAGTTGATAAGGGAACACAAAGCCTCTCACAATGAATGCTCACTCAGTCACTTGTTGGCAGTGCCAATAAAGAGATAATGGCTAAATTGGATGTGGACACTGAAAACTCTGCTTAGAGACGGCAGGGGTCCTACCAGAGGCATTTGCACACGGAAGTCTTGGAAGAAGCACGTATTCGTCTGCCCATGCTATTGTAACATCCAGGAACAGCTCATTCTCCTGACTACTGCTCTGTTGTTGCTCATGAGCAGCAAATTGGCTTGGAAAAAAGAAACAACCCAGTTCTTAATAGTAATTGACTGGTCATGCCTCCCAGTGAAGAGCTGAGTGATGGATGCTCAGTGCATAACCCTGCTATGGGACAACAGCTTTTCAAGAGGTCTTGTAGTCCTTTATCAAGCACTGGTGTGAGGGAGCTCTCCTGTAGTGAAATGCTTTGCTGATTAAGGAGGGAGTTTGTTTAACTAGTCTTTTCCATTAACAAGCTGCTTTTCTGTGTCCCTTCCTCTACCTTTTATTTTTCCCTTCTCCCATGCTGTGACAATAGTCACTTAATAGGGCTTCATTGTGTCTCTACATTTATTTGGATGGGTTTGTCGGAAATGTCTTCTTGCAACAAATCCATTCATGTCACCATCACTTTAGGGTCTACTTACTGGCTTTCTTGCATTTAAGGATGTGTTTGCCGGGGGCACAAGGGCCTTACTCTTCTCAAAGCCGTGGTCTTCAACTTTTCAATTCACACACCAGCTTTCCAGTGAGTGGGCAGAACATAAGTTCAGCTCTCAGCAAATCTACTTCTCAAGTCACTTTTTGAACTAGCGGAAGTGAATATTCAGATGTAACATGTACACTGACAGACCAAGTCCTAAACAAAAGATGGCTATGAATACTGTTGTCTGTCCAGGCTGAGGAGTTCTGCAGAACATCTCAGCAACATCAGCTTGCCAGGTGTGAATATATATGTGTGGGGAGGTGCTGCTGGATGGGTTGGGTTCTCTTAACCCATTTACTAAGCAAATATTGAAGCTTAGTTTCCAATGGATTTGGCTAATGGACTTTTAAGCTAGGTTCTGATGCTGTAGTGTGAGCTCACCCCTTTACTAGACACAAGAGAGTGCACATGGAAGAGGACTCTTGGCTGAGGAACACATTTATCTGACATCTCCTAAGGTGCAAAGTCCAGCTGAAATGCTTCCCACTGTTAAGTCATTGCTCCTAGGGGCTCACCCGTGTGTTTTTTCTGATGTCTGATAGGATTTGAATTTGTTTCAGCTTTCAGAGGAGCACCAACAGAGTCTCTTGCCTTTGTCTGGCCACCTACATTCCCACGCTTGTGGGAACATAATTTACTCAGGCCTTTACCTGAGGGAAGTGGTTGTGAGTGGCTGGCAAGATCATACCAAGGAATAATAACAGACAAACATGTAGATGGCATCATTGCATAAATCCTTCATTCTATAAGCTATAAAACAAGGTGAAATTCAAGGAAATCAAAGGGGGTTTTAACTTTCCATTTGCTATAATGAAAGCTGATCTTCATCCCAGCAAAAAAGGCTGAAGAATAATTCAGAAAATAAATTTCAGGGAGAAGGGATGGTCATGTGGTTTAAGTAGGCCTTAGCTGAGCTCGTCACTCAGCTATACTCTTTGGATAGTGCCTGAACCAGCCATGATGAATCTCTGCATGGTAGGTCCCATCTGTAAAACTGTGAGGATGAGGAATAGTACAACCCGAACTCCTTCGGGCAACGTCTGTTACGTCCTTCTCTAGTGCAGGGTCAGTTGTGCTCTGGGTGACTGCGCAAATGAAGACCCTCCTGGCTGCTCAGGATCTTTATTTCCTCCCTGCTTTGACAGGACACTTCCATCAGCCTTCTGTGACTCTTAGCTGGGGGACAGGATTTGCCCCATGATATTAGGCAGTGCTTATTCAGCTACACTGCAGGATGGCGGGCTGCCTCTAAAAGAAACCAGAATGTTAATTTTGGCTTGGATGCTTGCATTTAAGCAAATAGAACATTACTGGTCAGGGGTATATTAACTTAACTCCTCTCTGTAAGCCATTACGTTTACTGTCAAACCACAAAACAAGCATTAAGAGGTCTTATTAATGCATTTTATATTTATAGACATTTTAAATAAAGTGATCTGCCTTAAAGTATTTAATATCTATTTATGTTACAAGAATTTCTGAAGGGAAAAAAAGTCAGCATTACAAAATACTGTTTTATTGCTCCCTTGGTAAATGAGAATCTTAGGGAAAAAAGCCCACCACCCTCCTCTAGAATAACAGCTAAGAAACACAGCAAACCCCTTTTTCAACCCAGAAATAACAGGTATACTTCAAATAGCAAGTGCTGTGTTTTTAATGGTATTCTGTAGTTCTGACCGTCCCCCTGAACAGAGAATAGATTTGCATTAAACTTACTTGTTTTTTCTGAAAGTCATTGTAGAGGTGCAAGCTCTTCCATTTAATAAACTAATATTTGAAGTTGTAAGACAGATTTTTCCAAGATCATAGAAGAATTTCCCTCTAAGGTACTCTGTAATGTATGAGTAGGAACAAGCATGGCTCCAGGGTTTTGAGTTCACTTTTTTTTTAAGTCACCACCTCTAAAATGAAATCTTTTCTTGTTTTCTGGCAAGGTGTTTGATTCAGCACAATTTTCCTAATGGCAATTCCTCATGGCTTTGTGATAATGTTAAAAAATATAAGCTGATAAAGAAGTTGTCAAATGCCACCGTTTACATCTGCAGCCTTAGCAAGGCAGTGAGTTTATGGGCACACTGGATGTAAGGACATGGACATAGAGAGATCTCAGCAGAATTTAAGCAGAAGTGCAAAACCATCTACTTAAATATATATGTGCTGATTTATTTTTCTAAGTTAAACTCCCTTGGTATTGAGCTTTTGCACAGTATTGCAGTGTTTGCATTTCAGTTCTTGTCTTCCCTTTGCATCCTTTGGCTTGACTGCGTCTCCCATTTCCTGCCTTCGTTCATGCCCTTCTTCAGTAGCCACCAGTGTTTAGAACTTCCTCTAAAATCCGAAATAAAGTGCCTTTGTGGTAAAACATGCTTATTTTGCTCACCCATTCTGTTAGTCTGCATCTGGCCACTGTAAATTCTTATTGCATTTCATCCACGTGGAGCCTTTTGCAACACTTCATGGCTTTATCTAAAGTGAACTTCAGGTTTCTCAGCCAGCAACCAGAAGACCAGTGTGTTGGCTTTCTCTTTTCCTCTCTCTCCCCTGGGTTCCTGTGTATCTGCTCACAATAGCTCTTTGCTTCAGGAGCAGCTTCCGAAGCGTGAGGCATGTACTGCTTTCTTGCAGGACCTTTATGCTTTTGTTTCCTCTTGTGTTTTCATCTTAGAGAAATGGCCAGTAAGCCAAAAAGAATTTCTCTGTCCTCATAGACCAGGCAAACTGCACTGGCCTCTAATGTGGCTGGTCTTCATAACTTATGCCTTCAGCTTCCTGGAGAAAACTTGGATTCAAATGATTCTGAAGTGTATGATAAATGAGGTATGAGACCCTTTGGAAAGTTCTGTCCATGGCCACAGTGTTGTTAACAGTGAGGAGTGACTGGTTTCAGCTAGTACCTGAACAGCAAGTTGTGAATGTTGCCTCCTTGCAATTCTGCAGAGCTTACTTTGCAAACTAAGTCCCATTCAGACTGACCCTCTGAGTGTTTAGGGACAGAGATGTCTGAATTTCCGAGACCACAACATAATAATTTAAAGCCTACTTTCTACGGGTTTGAAAACCTACAAAAAAGAGTTGTTTGGAGGTTTTTTTTTTTTCTCCCCTAAGTGCATTTTTTGTGGTTTTGGAATAAATTACAACTGTGGCTTGGTTTTGAGCTTGCCTTTTTCTGAGAGAATACAGCATTCAGGGGTAAGTTACTGTAGTATGTGTTAGTTCTCCTGCAGCTGTTGCTAAGCCATGCGATTAGTGTGGAAACCCTTTGCAGCAGCAAGCAGTAACTTGAAGTTAGCGATCTTTTGGATGTCATTAAGAGGGAAAATTTTTATGTTGTTCTTTAGGAATAATACTGGTTTACTCTCTGAAGCCTTATTTTACACTCTGCAGATCATTTTTCGTTTTGGATTTCCCCCGTGAGAGATTTTTCTATGTTAAAGAAGCAGATAAAATCATTTTTATCATGCATGCATTGATGGATTTA